CCTGCATTGCCTGAGGGCATTCCATAGATGCCATTCAGTGTGCCAAACTGTCCCTTAGGTCAGAGCTCCTGGACAAGCCATAGGCCTGTTTCCTAGAAAGAGGCTAGGCTGTGTTTCAGCCAGCTATCTATGCAGCCCTGGGAGCAGTAGTCTGCCAAGAACTCTCTCTCTGATTGTTACAGTCCTTGGACCCAGGAATGCAGGTCCCCCCACCCCAGGCTCTAGAGCCAGGGGATCAAGGGGTGTCCACAAAAACTGGGTCACCAGACATAAAAAAACTAGAGCACCAGATGTATATGGAGGCTCCCCTCTGGGAGATATGGGTGCTCTGAGGTACAGCAGAGGGAGGGTATAAAGATAGTGTGCTCATTGACTGGAGCAAAGCGAAAGGGGCATGCAAAGATGGTACCCACTGATAAAAGGAGAAAGAAGGGAAAAAAACAAGAAGAAAAAAGGAAATAAAAAGGAAAAAGCCCTGGCACCCGCTGTCTTTAGGAGCTTGCAAGATGATAGCCTTAAGCTGGAGCATAAAAATGGCACCTTCGGGAAAGGAGAAGAATAAAACATGGTGTCTACTGGTTTTAGCAAGACAGGTGGGGAGCAGTAGGTTGGCACCCAACACCTTCCAACGTGTCCTAGCAGATCCCTGCCCCTCAGAGCAAGGTTTTACGATTAGGAAATGAGTCTTTCTCATAAAGTCTGGGAACTTTTCAAAGGGCTGCTTCTGTGTTGGGTCTTGGAGGGAATGAGTCTTACAAGCAGGCAGTTTAAGAGCTGTTTCTCAGTTCACCACAGTCCACTGGGTCTGGTGGACACAAGCCCCACTGGTCTTCAAAGAGAGACGTTTTGGGAGCTCATCTTTCAGGTGCTGGTCTTTAAAGTTGGGTGCCTGATGTGGGGGTACAAACGCTTTGCTCCTTAGGGAGAAAAGTGCTTGAGGTCCTCCCAATTGTGTGTTGTACCATCAGGGGGTCGGGTTAATGGCAAGATTGTGTCTTGGCCTTTCCTACCCACTTGGATGTTTCCTTTTTGTTGACCCAATTTGAAGGGGTCACCCTGCCTGTTTCTAGTTTTGTTTTGTTTGTTTGTTTGTTTTCTTTCAGAGGAAACTCTTACATACAAAGGTGTAGATTTGGGTGTGTCTGTAGGAAGAGGTAAATCAGCATCTTCTTATGTTGCCATCTTGAACTGGAACTTCACTTCAAACGTTTAAATATTTCTCATTCCAGGGAGTTATGACTGACTTATTCCTTGTAGACCTTAGTTCATGTTGTCAACAGTGGGGCATTGAATCTCAAAAAACATCAACTTTGAGATTAAAAGTAGGACAAACTGTCAGTAAAACATGCTGACCTAACATATCTGAACAGGGCAGGGTCAAGTTCATACTCAGAACCGCACGGGTGCTGTGAAGTGCAATGACTTCATACATATGTTGTGATGTCATCTTGTTATAACATTAAAGCCAAGGGTCTTCCCCACCTAAGGGCAATGCCAGTTTCCCAGAAGACTCCTTTTTCAGAGCCAAAGTTCCAAAGATACCACTGTAGCCCATGCTGACACTTAGTTTCATGCTATTTCTCAATTTTATGCTTAATTTGCTCCTTTTGGTTTTATGTATTTTGACACAGCCAAGCGTATGTGGGGATTTCCCCATAGTCCTCTAAATGCCATAAAACTTTAATATAGGGAGATAAAAGCAATAACAAGCCATGCCTCCAAGCCCTAACATTTAATTCTTCTTTTGAGTTAGATACCAACCAGTTTTAAATACTGATTTAGAGGTTCAAGTCCTTAACACTACTTTAAATGCCCTTGTGCCTTTCCTTCCTTCCTCCCCCATCCAAACGAAAATTATATTCCACCCATAACCTGGGCATGCAACACCCACTGATTGCACAAAGTGGCATCTTTACAATTCTTAAATTATCATCATAATGGCCTGTATCGTGCATGAGCCAATGCAATTTAATATGGTTCGGAATTAAGCCAAGATGGATGCCCAACTCCCAATTTTAGGCGTACAACCCTAAGATGTCTTTTGGAAAAAATGAAATAATGCCCCTGGAAAGCTGTCGAGTTAGTCTGTTTTCAGCATAATTGCCTTCTCTCAGCTTCCTAATACCCTTAAAACCTCAGAGTCTTTAATGTACAAAGTTCAACAAGAATACTTTCAAAGCAGATTAGTTCTAATTATGTTTAATATTTGTTTGCTGCTTTATTGAATAAACTACATTTGCTTTAAAAAAAATTCACTTAACTGCATGTCAGTCACCCAAATTTTAAGTGTACAAATGAAATGGAAAACATTTATTACACAAATTTAATTACAATTCTAAGATATAAACATGCAAATTAGATAGAGTTCAATTTGCAGATGCTAATCCTCATCCTTGATCTTGTTCCTTTCCTCCCTGATTTTCAGTCTGCGCCTCTCCTTGATTCCTAGGGAGCCAGGCAGCAAGAGGTTTGGTTTATCACAGTCGGAGGATCACTGCTTTAAAGAAGTGTTATATTTAGCACATCTGGCATAGTAGGAGTAAACAAACATTATAGTCTTTGTAACACTTTCGTGCAGGTGCCTTCCCCCGATTTTATTAGATCAATGCCTTCCAAGCCTCTGAGTTCATTACACCTGAAATGACCCATCTTGACTACGGAGGGGTCCCCAGACAGAAGTTATGAATTAATGTTTCAAAAAACAACTCCAATTGAGCCTAATATAGGGCAAAATTACTATTTGCAAAATAATGTGATTCCGAGGCTTAAATTACATTCGCTTGACCAAGGACAACCTCCTTTATTACTTTTTTATTTCCTGGAGGTTTTCCCTGGAGGCTCCCCACCCAGAAAGAGTTGCCAATTCCAGTTGCAGTAGGACCAAGGTTGCTTTTTAAGCACATGCAGCTCCGGAGGGGAACGGGCGGGGGCGAGCGGCGAGGGGAGAATAACTGCTTCGACCTGCAGAGACATCTGTTTCTCATCTCCGTTTGCTGTGGCAAAGGAGAAGAAAGTCTTTTGCAAAGGGTGGGAAAGACACAGTTTTTGTTGGGTTTTTTTTTTTAAAAATCACACGCACACACTACAACAACAAAACTAAGCCAAATCAAAAAAGACAAGACATCTCAGAAGATGGCAGAGTAAATGTATTATTCTGCTGGAACGGAGCCCCCAGGGCCAGGGCGGGAGCCCAGGAGCGCGTGGGGTCTGGGCTGCGGGCTGGAGCTGGGCCCGCGAGTCCCCGGGCCCTGGGAGGGGAGGGGAGGAGAAGGGAGGAGAGGAGGGAGGGAGGGAGGGAGGGAGGGAAGGAGGCAGGGGCGGGCTGGGGTGGGGGTGAGGGGAAGGCGCCCCGTGTGCTGCCTGAGGAGCGGCGGCGGCGCGAGCAGAGGGCGGGCAGGAGAGCGGGCGCGCTTGTCATGTTCCCTCTCTCACCCTGGGGGCATCCTGCAGAACCCCTCCTCGGAAATCCACGGGGAAATGGCAAACAGGATTGACGGGTTTCACACGCTCCTCGCTAGACAGAGCCGCTCATTACCATAACCGTCTGCAGCGACGGCGGCGCAGCGCCCCAGTCGCGGCGGCGGGACCTGCCGGGACCCTCGCCCGCCGCGCACCCGCGTCCAGCGCCGAGTGGGCCGCCGCGCCGGGACCCTCGCGGGCGTGCAGCGGCGGCCGGGCGGGCGCGAGCCCCGAGCGCCCCGGCAGCAGCTCGAGCGCCGCGGCCGCCGCCTCCCGGCTGACCCCGCGGTAAGAGCCGGGCCGGGCGGCGGGGGCGGAAAGGCCCGGGGGGCGGGGGGCTAGGGCGGCCGCCCGCGTCTGCTCGCGCCGACCGGCACCCACGCGGCCTCCCCCGCGCCCTCCGGGCTGCAGGGCTGCGCCGGGGTCATCGCGTGGACGCGCCCCGGCCGCAGCGGGTCGGGGGCGCCCTGCGGGCTAGGGCCGCGTCGGGCGCGGAGGTGGCGCGGGCTTTTCCCGGGCCCGGCTCGCGCCGCCGGGCCTTCGCCGGGCGGGAACCGCCGCCGCCTCCGGGGCGCACCGAGCCGAGCCCAGGGGTGGGTGGGGACGGCCGCTCTGGTGAGTCCCCTGGGTCCTTGGCGGCCGCGTACTCTCTCCCCCTGGAGTCTGGGGGTCAGGAGGAGGGATGCCCCCGGGTCCGGACGCCGCGGCTGCGGGCAGGTGGGGAGGGAGGGATTGCGGATGGCAGGCGCGCGCGTTTGCAAGAAAACGGAATCGCTGCAGGAGCTGACACCTCTGTCCCCCGCCACGCCGCCCCCGCACTCCTCCCGGCAGCCGAGCCGCGCTGCGGGCGGCGGCGGCTCCTCTGTCCTCAGCTCACCTCCCCGGCGGGCTCAGGGCTGCCCGCCTGGTCCACGCCTCCGCCCCTCTCCTCCCTTCCTTTCCTCCCGCCTGCTCGGCCCGAGCAACTTTACGGAGCTCCCGGCTGGAGCCGCAGAGGCGGGGGCCGGGGCCGGGCGGGGCGCGGACTGGGCGGCCGCCTACGGGAGGTGCGGGCCGCGTGCTCGCCGCCCTGGTGCCGCCGCCGCGCCGGGCGCTCCCGCAGCCGCAGGCTGCCGGTGGGCTCGGTCGGCGAGGGCGGGCATCTGCTGCAGGCTGGAGCGCGGGGCCGGGGCCAGCCTTGCCGGAGCCCTGCCAGCCGCCGTGAGTCATTTCCTTGGAATCCTACCTTTGCTGTTTATTTCCCTTAGAAGGAAACTTGGCTTTAAAAAAAAAAAAAAGAAGAAGAAAGAATAATAATAGCTCTTATTCTTCAGGAGAGGCGCGCACGGCTCCAGCACCGTGGAAAGACTACTTGCCTTTGTTCCCAGACTCTTGGGATGTTGTTTACTTTCTCCTGCGACCAGCGACCAGCAGGGCGCCGCTCGCTGCCTCGGAAGGGCACCAGGGGCTGCGGCACCGACCCCCGCGTTGTGTCAGTGGTGGCTGCTGCCCGCCTGCTGGGGGTCAGTTCTCTAAACCGGAACCCCGGTCTTGGGCCCAGGATGGGGAGACCTGGCGCCGGGGATCGCTGTCCCCTTTAGGCCCAGCGCCCGCATGCCTAGCCCCAGGACCCTAGAGCTCTCGGCTTCTCAGAGGTGCAGCCGGGAAATGTACTTCCCAGGGCAGGCAGGTGTACTTCAGGAACTGGCAGAAAAGCCACGTCTCTCAATCTCGGAGGGTTGAAGGTTTTATTCTGCCCTTTCTGCCTCTTCCACCACCACCAAGAGGTGATCAGGCTGTTGAGATCTTGTTAGGGTCAACGTGGAGGTTAGCGGCTTGGTTCCAAGCTGGGCAGGGCACTTAAGATGGGCAGCACCACAACTGCGTTGAAGATAATCAGCCCTTTACTCCCCTGTTTTTCAGTATTGGAATCAGACCTCCAGCTGCTATAATGCTCTTAATAAAATGTTCTCTACTTTCCGGGGAGGGTGAAGAGTGGGAAAGAATGACCCAGGAGCTCCTGTTAGGTTAAAGGTGCCACTGAGTCTGCAGCTCCCCTCCTGTGTGCCAAGCAGTAGAATGGCTCTGAGCAAAGAACCAGCCCAGCTCACCTGGAAACACCAAATTGTACAGAAATGCCTGTGACCCTTTGATGGAAAAGCTTGACATTTTAGTCCTCACCTTTCTGGGAATGCTGGAGGTGTCATTCCATTACATCCACTTGGCTGACAATACAGACATGCAGGAGCCTTGGGGTAAAAGGCTAGGGCCTTTTCATTTTTCAAACCCCTGGAGCTACAGACCTCTCTTTTAACACCCTTCTTTTGAATCCCTTCTCTTCTGATGTTAAAAAAACAAACTTTATCATAAATGTACATCTTTGTGGCTGTATCTAATTTTAACAGCACATAGATGTGTGGATTTAAACTTCTGAACTCAGCAGAATTATAAATCATAATAATTATAGTTTTTATAATTATAAATAATTATAAAAGTAAATCATACAGAGAATAATGACAGTTTGGATCTGTACATATAATACATAAAAAAGAATCATGGGAAACATTGGTACTTAGTTCCGCACACTCTAATTCTTCATGAAACATTAAACTTGCCTTAATTTGTTGATACCCAGGTGAAAGTTATAAATAGACTAGGAAGACTCAGTTGCAAAACCTTCTCCCCACTCGCATATCATCCAGAGTCATTTATATTTTATTCTGACTTCATAAGTCATGTGTGGACTCAGCCTCTCCAGTTTAGGATGTTGTATGTAAAAGTTTCCAGTTCAAAAAAGAAAAACTCATTGAAATTAGATAGCATGAAGGAGAGAAACAGCCAAGATAAAAACAGTTATGCCGAGTTTCAAGTTTCAAATGCATAATGATAGAATTTCATGCACTGGAAACAATACTATCAATAGAAACGCTAAGCTCCGTAACCAAAAAACCACAACAATAAGTCATTAAAATATAAACAAACTCTTACTAACATGAAACAGCACAGGGTCTATATAATGTCTTATGAAACAAAGGTAATTGGTGGTAGGGCTCTGCAAATGCTTCAGTTACTTAAGGGGAATGGATTTGTCAATCTGCTTTGCTTTACATGTAATCAAAGTTCAAATAGACTTAGGTCATATTCTCAGAATCCAGCACAAAAGTGAGTGTACATTTCAAGCTGGAAAATACTGTTGCAGTCAATGAGAGAGGGCTACTGACTGAGAAAAAGTTGTAATTCATGTGTTCCTGGCAGGCAATAGGATGCCCTGATAACAACTGGCTCTTCTAATAGGTTAAGCAATTGGACCACTTCATGAAAGTCTTCCAGGAAATAAATTATCATGAGGTTGGATACCTTGCTTGTATGCCGGCTTTGCTGGATGATAGACAAAATGGCTTAGTTTGTTAGATCAGTGTGGTTTACATTTCTTGGTTCATGATTCAAAGAGCAAAATAAATGGCAGGTCCCACCACATCTTTTTAGAGAATTAGTTGAACCTCCTTCCTTTTTTTCTGGTCATCAGGTCTTCTAATAAACCCTTGCTGCTACCTCTTAGGATGGCATTTTAAAAGACTCGGGATAGGTGGTTAAGCAACCCAAATCATCTGGGTCCTAATTCTAGCCACTGCCCTGGACACCTCCCTGTCAGAAGGTCTTGCTTTATTCTTCAGTGAGGTTGCAACAATGTAGGATATCAGAGAGAAGCCTGGGTGAAGAATGGCTGCTCTGTTAGCCAAAAGGACATGTCACTTTAATGAAGCTATTTCCCCCTCCCCTGGTGTTTTTCTTCCTTTCACCTGGACGTGGGCCCTTGTTATAACATGTAGGTAATAACAGTCTCCCACTGGACACCAGGAGATTCACCCTTTCCCAAAAACATTACAAGCTGTATAATTTGGAGGAGAAGCAAGAACTAACCCTTAGTGTATATCTGAAAGACAATCAATCTTCAGAAAGTAGACCTGACATCACTCTTTGTGACAGCTCTCTAAGTGGCAAAGTGAGATAGTGGAGGTGTGGATCTCCTAAAGGAATTGGTGGTTAATAAGCCACTGAGGCTGCTCTGCTGTCACCACTGATCGATGGTCCCTGGATCTCTTTACCTGATAGAAGGTATCAGACCTCCTCCCTTGAACTCACTCCTGACCCTACCTTGAGCCTCAAGTGAAGACACGAGCCTCTGCAGCAATGCCCCCCTACCACCTGAGTTGTCATGGAGGCACCCAGGGCCCATCACCCAGCAGAAAGGCTCTAGTCTACCTGTGGCTCTGGGGAAGGACGTGAACTGGAGACAAGGGCAGTGCTGGGTTGCCTCTTGGAAAGTTCCTGCCTTGTGTCTGGGCTCTGCAGTGTAAAGAGTTGTCGGCTCCCTCTGGCCCCGAAGCCCTGGCTCCTGTTTAATATTCTGCCTGCTCCGCTGATGTTGTGCTTGGCTCCTGTGGGACTGCAACTCACGGCTTGAAACTGGAGCCAATTTTCTGTCTTCATCTCACAGTGTTTTGACTGGAGGCAGATCCAGTTCAGGCCGATCAGGGCTGGTGGAAACAACTACCAAGTGTGTCTCTGTCTGCTTCGTTTTGGGAGAAGAAAGTGGAGGGAGCCCCAGAATGGTGTAGAGGAACTGGCCCTGCAGGAAGGAGAGGAGGAGGGGGCAGTGGGCAGCGGTACAGGCGGAACCTGAGAGCATCAGTGGGGATTAAGGGGAGATTCTGCCTCCTCCACGCCTTCCTTTTGATTGATTAGCAGATTGCATCAAAGGAGACTCATGGGGGATTGACTGGAAAATTGATTTTGCCTTATTAATAGAAAGGAAGCGCTAGGGTTTGGGACTTGCCTTTTAGCAGTACATTTTCTGCGAGAAGGTCAGGAGGAAAATGTGTTTAGGAGGCAAAGCAGCTGTCTGGAAGAGGGCTGAGGGGAATCCGAGAACAATAAGAAACGGGGTTTTAAAGAACCGCCCATGAAATGCAGATTGCTGAACACAGAAGCTGAGCTAATAGCAGCAAGAGAGTTCGCTGAGGTTTCCTTTGAAAAAATAATCAAATGTTTCAGGGTGAAGGGGAGGACTGAGAAGTGAAAGTTTCCCAGAGCAAAGGAATGAAAATGCCAAGGCCATCCCCCGGCATGCTCTTGATTAGGGCTGTTTTCTTTTTTTTTCCCCCCCCAGATCTGAGGCTGTCAGAGATGACTCTGGTTCTGTCCATGAATAGATTCTGCGAGCCCATTGTCTCGGAGGGAGCTGCTGAAATCGCCGGGTACCAGACACTCTGGGAGGCCGACAGCTACGGAGGCCCGAGCCCCCCAGGGCCAGCGCAGGCTCCTCTGCAGGGAGACCGAGGAGCCGGTCCCCCCCTGACAGGTATTGCCCTTGGCCCTTCCCCTGCTGCCCTCTGTGGCCAGACTGGTGGGCGGGGTGTCTGGGGCGCCCTGCAGAGCTGGGAGAGCTCCTGCCCCAGAGACTTCCAGGCTTCCTGTGCACCTCTCACAAGTGAGCCCCGGGCTCCAGGGAGAGGACCAGAGGGCCATTTAAATGACATTCAGATTTGAGTCTCCAAGTGCTGTTGCTTCATGCGTAAGTCATGTACCTGTATTTTTAAGAGAACCAGACCAGATTTGGAATCTGAGTTTTGAGATTTGCTTTTCTACCTTGTGGAACTGTATGGTTCCCTTGGAGCTACACACACAAGCCCTAGTGGGCTTGACAGTGAAATCTTCATCCCATGAGACATAAAGGAATTTGTGCTTTGGGCCAACAGCTATGTCTTCCTTTATGAAGCGCACAGTTGGCTCTGGTATTGTAGGGAGAAAAAAAAAAAGAGCCCAGAATATAGAAATATGTTCTTCCTGATTCTTATTTTCTTATTTTCTAAAGTAAGTTCCTTTGGATTTTTGCATAGTACTGGTTATTATATATATAATATAGAACAAGTACTCATTGCAATCTGTTTTGCTTAAAAGGATTAAAATCTGTAGTCTTTAAATATTAGACCCTGCTTTTATTCATGGTTGACATGTTACATTTTTTAGAGCAAAAAAAAAACTTTGGTTACCCAAAATTTTAATTTAAAATTTTTAAAATTTCAATTTCATATTTTGAAAGAAGGAATATTATACCACCGATGTGCAGATAATCATTTGTTTTCTTACCTAGAGCTAATAATATTTTTAAGTTGTTTGATTATTAGCACTTAGAGTTAAAGATGTATAGATTTGAACAGTGGTGTTCATGAGTTCAATAGAACAATTAATTAAATACTAATAACATTTCAGAATTGTTACTCTCCTCCCCTTTATGAATTTTGCTGTTTGCCTGTAGAGTTAAGACTGAATATTTAGTAAATGCTGAAATATGTCATTTTCCTCTAAGAAATCCTTGCCTAGCCTGGGTCACAGAATTCCATATGATAGCAACAATTAAGACAAATGTTTATTTTTAAACACCACATGTACAGACAAATATGTAGCAAGTTATCTTCTAGAAGGAAATTAAAGGAAAGTATTTTGTTTGGAGAACTTCTGGCAAGCTGCATATCATTTGTCATATCTGATTTATTACCACAGGATCACATTACAGGGGAATTTCAAATCCTATAACAACATCCAAGATCACATACTATAAGAGGAAGTATGTGGAAGAAGAGGATTTTCACCCACCACTCAGCAGCTGTAGCCATAAAGTATGTTTTTTAATAGTAATTACTTTTATTAAGAGTTTAAGATACTTAGTAACAGTTGCTTGATCCATTTCCAGAAATTAAATTGTTGCACCCAAGCAATGAAAATGAGCCACTTCTCAGCAGAGCGGTATTAATTGGTGTCACTTCTTTGGGTCCTCTGTTATTTTTCACAAGTAGTTGAAGGAAGAGCCAGCAGGGAGCTCCTCTACCCAGAAATAACAAAATTAATATCATCCAGGGAAGGACTTTTTTACAAGTGATGTAATTTTTCCTCAAGTTTTGTGAAGGGTTACAGTTACTGCACATTTTCACGTGTGCAGAAATGCACTTGTCCTTTCCGGATATGCTCCCCATCTCTGGAGCTCCAGCTCCCATGCCCGGTGCCACTTCTGTGGTGGTGGTGGTGGTGGTTACTCAGGGCTTTTCCTGACCCCTGAGGGGTGGACTCAGCACCCCTTGAAGGTGTGCATGAGTTTTAGAAGCATGAGTGCAGTTCCTTATGCATTAATCATTTATGTTTAGTTTGTTAAAATAGATAATTGCTTCTCAAGAAAAGACCAAAGCTCACTTTTTTGCAGGTATCAGAAATCAGGAAAGTGTGTCAAAGTATGAAACTGGTCATCTAAGCTTTTCAAACACCAGTTTCTTTTTCCTTATGCTTATCTTCCTTCAAAAGCTATCTGCTGATTTATCAAGGAGGGTCTAACCCAGACCACAGTTGTCAGAAACACAGAGAGGATATTTTGGTTTTGATTCAGCTTCCTCTCTGTCTCCTCTTACCCTCTCTTCTCCTTCCCAACCCCTTCCTTTAGATGTTGCTTTGACACAATGCATAAAGATGTGAGCGGGCTTTGGCAGGTGCTGGGCTTGCCCCTGCATGTGTAGTTCCTGCCTTGGGTCAGCCTCGGCTGGGTTCCTTCACAGCTATCAGTTCTGCTATGGGTTGGCTTCTTTTTTGTGACCTGGAAGAGCTGGCCTCCAGGACACAAACAATTTATTTCCTTTTGGTTTCTATGTTGTGGTTGTAGCAGTTTTCCAATTGCCGCTGGGTTTGTACTAGTCGTTGCACAGTGATGGCATCACACAGCTCAGGAGTAGTCCTCTCATTTCCTCTTTCTCCTGCATGGCCCCAGAAGGAAGCCTACTTTGGCCCTTCCATTGACAGATCCTTTCGAGATCTGAGCCTCCTTAATTATTGTTGCCCCTCTATGAAGCAAGGATAATGGAGGGACAACACTGACCAGCAGATTGCATGCTCTGTGAAGGCTAGGCCAGATTATGACCCACATCACAGCATCTTTTCAGAAACATTTATTGACGTACAATATATGAGCCCGTGTATGTGCACACTTATTTGTATACACACACATAAAAGCACAGTGTTGTAAGAGAAGAGTTTAATGAGTTTTACAAAGTGAATATATCCATGTAACTTAGCATTCAGATCAAGACACAACATAATCAGTAGCCTGGAACTCCTCCTTGTATCCCTTTCACTACCTCTGTGCCCTCTAAAGAAGCTGCTCTGCTTGACTGCTAGCAACAACTGTGGATTCGTGTTGCTTGCTTCAGCGTCCCCCTAGCTGGGCCCTAGATGTGCAAACAAACTGACCTGTCCCTGCTAGGGTCTACGTTGTACTGGATTCCCTGGTGCTGGACCACCACCGTGAGTCAGGAAAGGGAGACACCAGCAGCATCTACAGGGCATCTCTACCTGAACCTGGGGGCAGCAGGACCACAGCATTCCCAGACCCCAAAACTGTCAAGAAAGAAATACACTGTGATGGTGTATTTTAATGTAGTCCATTTCCTAAGCTTTCTCTTCCGTTTTTGATTTTTAGACCATCTCAGTTTTTGAAGAACGAGCCCACATCCTTTATATGTCCTTAGAGAAACTCAAGTTCATTGATGATCCTGAAGTGTACCTCCGAAGATCTGTCCTGATAAACAATTTGATGAAAAGGATCCATGGAGAGATTATCATGCAGAATAACTGGTGTTTTCCTGCCTGTTCTTTCAATGGTACCTCTGCCCAAGAGTGGTTTATGGCTCAAGACTGTCCCTACCGGAAGCGACCACGGATGGCCAAAGAGGAGTGTGAAAAGTTTCATGCCTGCTGCTTTTACCAAGAATGTGGTGGTCACTACCTAAATTTACCCCTTTCTGTCAATGCTGATGTCGGAAGTGCCTCTTCCTCCTCCTCCTCCTCCTCCTCCTCCTCCTCCTCCTCATCTCCCTCTTCTTCTCCCCCCCTGCCTTTACCGAGTTGTTCCCACCAGGTAGATTTTGATGTAAGCAGCGCACCTATTTACAAGGCTGATGGCCAGATACCTGCCAATGAAATCTTTGTTACTAACGTCAGGTCACTAGGTGTTCAGGAAAAGGCCAAGCTAAGTGATGAGAAGGCCAGTAATGACACCAACAGGGATGGTGGCCTCCTAAGCCATGAACCTGTAGGAAACGACCTTGCTTTTGAGTGCAAAGGCCAATTTTATGATTATTTTGAGACTGGATATAATGAAAAACACAATGTAAGTGAGTCTTGGAAAAAATCCTTAAGGAAAAAGGAGCCTTCACCAAGTAACAAACTGTGCTGTAGCAAAGGAAGTAAAATATGAGCCATCTTTTCACTGAAACTTTGAAGCATGCACAGCATGATCAATTAGCTCTCATAAATTTTATTTTGAATGGATTTTATAGTTTTGTACAACTGATAAAACTATGCCATGAACATGCCATGTCATTTTAATGCCTGGAGAGCAGATTGCACCAAACATCTGTACAGTAGGCATCAGCGAGCTACTTATAAGTGTGATTTTATCAAAAAATCAGTTGACTTAATGCTTAAAAGCATACCTTAGTTTTCTTACAGAAGAGATCAGTAGATTAGACCGGGGGACAATGTGCCCTTGTGATATTTCCATTACCCCCCCAAGGAGCCTGTCACTAGCTAAGAAACTTCCACATGTTTGCCTGTTAATTAGGTAGTATTTGGTAAGCAAATCGATATAACCAGCAAAGGATGTCTGCTTCTTTTATATGATACAGTATTTTTTCTGAATAAAAGATTGAAGACAGAGAGCTAGATGAAATGGCTTCATGGTGCTGTTAAGTGTATTTAACAGTCTTGTGTGTGACAGATGAAAATCAGACGTAACGTAATGAAACACTTGTCTGGGCGGCGGTCAATAATATGCGGAGAGGGTGATCCCTGCCAGTTCCTGGCTTGCCTGTTGATGGAGGGGGTGAGGCTTGTGGAGAGGTGGTATACAGGGCGATTTCTGGTGCCTTACTTTATCTTAATTTTTGCCAGTGTGAAAATTAAAGATAAATCAGAGTTACAGCAGGGATTTAAACAGGAAAAAAAAAACACACAGGGTGGATCAATATTGTTTGGAAACCATTAACTTCGAACTATTGCATTCAACTTTTGATTCGACATCTCTATTCTTCCTTTATTTTTGATGCCCAGTTGCTTTTGGATTTGGCATTTTTGGAAAGGGATGGAGGACGCAATAGAGAGAGCAGTTAGAAATCAGCACTTAGCTGCTTGAGCTTTTCTATGGCAACGGGTCTGTTGCTGGGGTTGGGTTTTTTGGGTTTTGGGTTGGTTTTGTTTTGTTTCCTTGTCCAATGAAGTTCATGAACCAGTGGCATGCATCATATTTTAATCTGTTTTGCATCATTTCACTTGTTTAGATTATAAAAGCATGTGATTTTTTATATATGACTTTTGCTGTTGATTAAGAAGCACAATGTTAATAAATGATGTGGTGACCAATAAGGTTTTATCTTAAAGAAATGTAAAGATTTTAGTTTCTGGAAAGTTATTTTGGAGAAATGGGACTCGGTCAGCAATAGAGCTACTGTGTATTTGGTAAACATTTTTCCCAATGATTTCTTTAATTTGTACATTTACAAAGAGTGTTTAGGGTGCCCCTCTGACCATCCTTCCTTACACTCCAGCCAGCTCCTCCTGCTAAACTGTACTGCAGTTTCCAAGGTTGCTAATTGACTTGGGCCTCTTTAAAAAGTATTTCACAGGAACTAAATGCCAAACGGAGGAAATAAATTAAGTCCTCCCAGTTTCTCCAAGATAAAAGCTTTTTTTTATTATTGCTATTAATATTAAATATAGGTCTCATTCATACAGTGTATGAGTAGGATCATCATTTGGACAATGTCCACAAGGACCAATTTTTAAAATACGTTCTTGTGTTATGGCTGAATAGTCTAGTAATGTTTTGTCCTTTATTTTCAATATTTGATAAACATTTGATGTTGAAAACTTAGATGATAGATGCTTGTATATGAATGTGTTGTAATAAAGTGAGGTTTTCTTGATATATATTTATTAAAATGATGAAAATTCATTAAGATTTTCTTATTTTAATGATTATTGACTATGTTTCTCTTTTCCATTGCTCTTTTTCCTTTAAAAAAAGCTTGAAATGTCTAGAAACTATAGTGGGCAGTGGCCGTACATGAGTTTTCAAAATGAAAGAGTACTTTGGGAGGTCCCTCTGACAGGTGTTTTATAATGGTCCTAGTTTATGGGTTTTGTTTTCTGTGGATTAAGAACAAATGTTAATAAGTGAAGTGGTTGGTGACTGAAACGGTTTTATCTTAAATAATGTGAAGATTCTGGTTTTTGTAAAGTTTCTGAAAAAAATAACCAAGCATGAAGCTATAAATACTGAATCCTAGCTGATTCCCTTAGGAAATGTCAAATTGTAAAGGTGACCCATTAAGTAAATAGTCAAAACAGTTACAGATTATTGTCTAGTAGTTTCCCATACAATTCTGTATTAAAGTTATTCCTAGAGGCTAATAACTTATTTGATAAAAAGGGAAAGCTAGTTGGGAGCTAATTAATTTGTCAAATGTAACATTCTTATGAGTGTAATACATCACAGAGATTGAAATATGAACGAAAAGATTTACCCTTTTGCTTTTTAAAAGAATTACCAGATACCGGTTTTCTTGATGGCCAGAGCTGTACAGTGGCAGCGTTGGTGATTTTCACAGCACTCACCTGAGCTGCTGGCTTGCACAGCTGCTCAACAGAACCTGCGAGAGCTTCTTTGCAGGATGAGTGCTGCCTTTGAGTCCTGTAGCACTAAAATTTGTAATTTTTAGTGATCAAACTTTTGTTTCTAGGACATTACCAGCATACAAAACGAAATACTCTTTATTTTCCTCACACACACACACACACAAAATATTTCCCTAAACACCCAACCAACTAACAAAAATTTTCCTGTTGGTATGAGAGCATTAGGGCCTGGTATGTGCCTACAGTGTCATTTCTACTCAGAAGATGCTAAGTTAGGTTTTCCCAGAATGGCCAAGGCACCCCTTTATTGTAAGTTAGATGTATTAACTGGTTTCTCTAATTATATCCTCTGAGAGTGGAAAAGCTAAGACTGCCCTCCTCCACCCCACGCTGCTGAAGACCCACCTGGAATTAGCACCTTTTCTCATTGCTCTGCTTTGCTTTAAGCAAAACCTTATAAAGCAGAATCCAGACCTTTAAAAGTGAAATGAGGGGAAGTCTTCACTTAAGAAAATGGCCCAGCTCCCCAAGAATACCTTTAATTGCTAATCCTTTAGGCATCTAGGTGCATGTCATAAACTTAATCATTAACCTTTGCCTCTGGTCCTTCTTCAAAGTGGGCAGAAGTCGGTCTGGCACAGGTACTTTAAAAGAGGGAAGGTACCGTCCTCATATGCTTTCAGTCATGGAATCCTGTTCTGTACTTCACCTTGAAGGGTCCTGAGGACAGGATTGCAGGAATGGGGACATGGGAAGAAGTAAAAAACTCAGAACTGGCAGAAGTGACTTTGACAATCAGTCACTAATTAGGGTAAAGCATCTTTGGCATGGTCTTTTAAGACAATAGAAATTGGGAACATTTTACGTTCTCCTTTGTTAAGTAAATGCTGAAGCAAGTGAATGAACTTACTTATTTTTAGAAATCATAGTGTAACTCCATCAAAGCACGCTACCCATCCCTCCAATCATGGACCTGTAACTCAACCCCACTTGGTTACTTCCTCTCCGTGTATCAAGAGAGCCAAGAACAACTTGCAGAAGACACGGGTGTTGAGAGATGTCAACTTCACAGTCAATATAAGACAAAGAAACAAGGATTCATATGCAATGCAGCTAGGGTCTTATATCCCTCCAAAAAATTGTGAGCAGAAAATGGTTTTGAAAATAATTCGTTCTTCAAATTCATTTTTATGACAGCCTCTTAAATTTGAAGTCATTTTATTCATAGCAAGGTGATCACATCCCTGCCAATTTTACCAGGCCTTTTCAAAACCAAGCTTCTGCAGGACATTAACACTGATGGTTTAAACTAGATGCAGAACTGTCCCATGAAGAGAATGAAATCAATATTGAATTAAGAGAGACAATGTATGTTTTCTAGTAACTCATTTTAAGATTGCTCTGTTTTGATTCTGTGGTTTAAGAATAAATATGACAAGGATCTTTTAAGTAACGACACGATGCCTCCATTAATTTCTTGGAGTTACAGTGTGTACATGCGAGGTATATTCTGTTCACATGGCTAGAACTTCTCCGTTTTATGTGATATAGCTACATGACCTGGGGTGAAAACAGTTGCTAGTTAGAGATTATTTCCAGCCCTGTGTACAAGCTGTATTGTAGCTGGGAGTACTCACTTAGGAAAGTACTTGCAAAGATGTAAGTTATGAACACTTGAATCTCGCATCCTGCCATAAAGTGCATCAGCAAGTGAGTTTAATAAAACATGCTGTTTAAAATAGTCTGTAATTTCCTGTTTCTGCATTTCCCTTCAGTATCTGTGACAGGCTGAAGAAGGATGACTAAACGGAGGGAATTTACACAAGCAAGTCTGGTGGTGTTTGCAAACCATCACCACGAACTTCATCTTCTTTGGTAAACAATTCTCTGGTGGGCTGTCCATGGTTGTTTTTTTTCCTTGGTGTTGGTCCAATTTGTTAATTTTGAAAATGCAAACTACTTATTTATAGCCTGGAAACACCTGCTTTTGACCACAGTGAAACTGATAGAATGTATGGCGAGGAATTAGCCATTTCTCATGAAAGTTCCCATGCTTCTCAACCCCATTTTTGTAACTGTTCCCTTGATTTAAAAGTATAAAGTCTTACAAAAAGCCATTATCCTAGAGGGAAGAGCATACACAGAAAAGAACTTGCAGAGGCATAAACTGTGATCCTGGATCCGAAGACAACGGGCAAGTAGCAATGTCTGGGAGAGAGGAACCCAGCCCACCTACCCTGAGACCAGGCTGCCCAGGCTGACTCGGCCTTCTTCGGCAAACACTGCCTCCAGCCAGGTCATTCCACGGGAGCCGCTGAGTCCCAGCATCAGGTATGCGATCATCCACTTCCCCTCTGAATGGTCAGATTGCACATGAACCCAGCCCAGACACTTCAAGACACAAGTGTTTTTCTGCAGGTGCCTTCTGAGGCGATTGCAATGAGCCAAGCTCAGATGTGACATGACCCTTGTATCCTGGCAATCAGGAAGTGAGCAGATCCCTCTGAATTGCACCTGGAACAGCACTCAGCCATCTGTACCATCCTCCAAAGTCAGAAAACTCCTGTGTGCACGGTAAGGAAAAGATAGAAAACAGGTTACAAGGCAAGGGATTTCAGCAACAGGGTGATCTCTGATGGAGCAGAGTGGAAGACATCTGAGGAATACAGTGCTCCATATGCACTGCAGAGTGAGTTCACTTTCTTTTGAGGAAAAGCCTAAAAATTAGAAAGGAAAGAAGATAGGGGATTGTTTTTGTTTGTTTCTTGGTCAAACCTTTTTATGAAGACAGGTAAAACCATTTCAGGGACTAAAGGATTTCCTTTAGGTTTTTTTTGCAAGAAGAGAGAAATGGCTTGTCTGCCCTTTCTGGGAGCTGGGAGTATTTCTCATTATTATTCTTCAAGTCCTTAGATGCTGTGCTTTACAATAAAGCCACCAAACTGTCTTTGGGAGTAGGTCCAGGCATTCGTCCAAGGTGCCTTCCCTTGTTCAGGTCAGGCACAGCAGTTGTGCATTTCTCATGAGACTGGAATACAGCAGAGGGTGAAGAGTGTGGGATTTGGAGTTACACTGCCTGGTTATGAATCCCAGCTCTGCCACTGTAGCTGGGTAACCAGGCCCTTGGCCAGCAAGCCCCTTTCCTTCCTGGTGCCTCGATTTCCTTGTTTGTAAATTGGGGTGGTTCACCATACCCACCTCCCAAGGCTGTCAGGATTAAAAGCTTTAATATTGGGGAAGTGAGCTGACCTTGCCTGGGTGCACTTCGTGAGTTTACAATAACAGTGAGCCTCCATGACTTCTCTGATGTCCCCACGTGCCCTGAAGGCTAGATCTGATAGTACCACATCCTCCTGTTGTGGAAATGTTCAGCCTCCTGGATTCTGTATAGTGAGCTTAATAGCAAATAGGGCATTGGTATCAAACCAGGACATCTTGAATACCTATGAATGTAGTCCCTGGTATCCCTGAGATATTTAATATTTCAAAAAGTTTCCTGGAAATCATAAAATATCCTGAAAGTAGTTGCATAGGCTAACCCATGTCAGATTTCCTTACCTGTTCTCAGAGTTATATCAGCTCTAGGTTAACACAGCACAAATTGAGAAGAACCTGTGGCTGGGAAAATGAAAAAGCATTATCCTTAAATGCAATTTATTTCACAGACAGAATATTTTAGAACATTGGCTATGTGAAGGGAGTAAGAGGCACCCCTATAAGTGAAAGTTTGAAAATCACTAACCCCTGACTCATCCCCAGGCTTTGCCGAAGTTCAAGTTTATTCAATTACTGTATGAATGATTCTCATAGGTATAGTTTTTGCTCAGAAAAAATGTAGTATTGAGTACATAAATATGGATAATATAGACCAAACATTATTCCTAGAGTTCCTATATCTGATCATGGAGGCTAAAGCCGTAACTTTAAAGGCATGGCCTATCATAAAATAGCTAGCATACAGTTCTCACGTGTAAGATCTAAGTTTAAAAAACAAATGAACTAGGAGATGGTTATCCCTACTACAAAATCTCATCCCTTTTGATGTCGCCTTTAAATTTGGAGTCCAACAGATGGTTTCAAAATAAAGAGTCCATTTAAAGAATTACATTTCCATCTCAACTTTGAAGAGTATATATTCTTCCATAAGGTGAGGTGCACCTGTAGTGATGGTTGCTGATTGGCGGGTCTGAACTGAGAACAACACTGAATCACAGGGCTTGAAGATGAGAAATAGCCACCAGAGCGTAATGAAAGAAAATGCAGTGTTGTGCCGTTATGGTTCCAGGCCTTCTCTGCAGCAGGTTCTCCTCCCACTCTACCAGCCTCTAGGATTGCTTGACTGGCACCAACAGTTGCCAGTTGAGCCAGTTGAAACAGGTCCTGGGAGGCCAGGACACTGAAGCATGCCCAGGGAGATCAGGCTCGCCATCTCCAGATGCTTGTCCTCTCCATATTTGGAAATTCAGCAGCTGGAGTAGGTATTTTTATTTGCCAGTAGACAGGATATCAGCCAGTACCAATAATTGGTTCGAATCCCCCACCAGTGCAGCCTTATCCTAGCTGGTTTTAGCCAAGATAACTTAATGTACAAGGGCTATGAGAGATGAGGGGAGGGGACATCTCTCTGTCACAAAACAGTATGGGGCCCAACACAGAAAGGACCCATAAAGAAATCCTGGGGCCATCTGTCCATCTGGTTGTAATGGATGAATAAACAGATACATGCTAGGAAGAACCCAAAGATGGAATTTGCAAGAGCTGATTTGATTTCCAACACTTATAAATCCAATGGGGTTTAACTCCACCATTCTAAAAATTTGTTTTGTTCATTTTCTTACAATCTATTGTATTGGTTTCTGATCAAATGACTGCTGCTTCTTAATACAAAATTATAACCAAGTTAATGTTGAAAGCACTAGATTAGGAGTCAGGAGACAGGTTCTTGCCAATTTCTACCACCCATTAGCTTAGCCACCCATTGTTATCAAACCATGGACAAGCATTTAACTTCACTGGATCTTAATTTTCCATCTGTCAAATGATGGGGCTGGACTCACAGGGCCCCTAAGATTGTCCTCTTCTGGCCCTAATATTTGTGATTCTGACAACCAGTGATCTTTCTGAAGATTTTTCACTTGAATTTTCTGTGCTTATCACCCCTTCGTTTCCTTCCCCAGAATTCCTTTTTCTTTTTCTTCCAGTGAAACCATGAAAACTGCTTCTGGATGTTTCTTAAAGAACACATCTCTGGAGTTTTCCTGTACAAAATGATTGTTTCCTGCACAGGGCTGCTAACCTATTGTCTGAAATACATTCCTCCAGATAGGTCATGCTCCCCCGGGTTGTCTCAGTACAGTTACCCTCCCCCTCCCTTGAGAGTGCTGCCCTCCCCCCTCCCCTCTCCCCACCCATTAGCGCATTAGCTCCACACATCCGGAGCCAGCCACGCACAACGCTACTCCCTCCTGGCACAAGGTTATCTTCCCCCTCAAGCAAACAGCCAGCCAGCCCCATGCAGGCGGGGGATCCGAGAACCCTCTTCTCTCTTATGGTTACGAGTAATAAAAGAGCGGACTTTCCCCCGTCTTTTTATGAAGACAATCCTTGCAGCTGTGACTATAACTGTTGTTGGTTTTTTCATACGAGCCAAGATTATGGTCCCATAACCCAATTAGTGTCATTTGGTGGTGGTCCAAGTGCTTCCCCTGCACAAGTTTTAATTTGGGGATCCCCGGAGGCTGCGCTCCACATCTGTAGCCGGCCTGTTCTTCCTCTCCCCTTATTTGCTCGAGGTTTATGGGAGGATTAGCTGTGTGGTCCGGGAGGCGGCTTTCTCTTTCATCCGCATTGCTCTCGAGCCGCCGAGGAGCCCTTTCCTTTACATCAAGCCCTGGCACCTGGAGGGCGGGCAGCCCGGGCGACTGGAATGAATCAGTGGATGCCCTGCAGGCCCCGTGGGGCGCGGCCCTGCAAGCATGGGGGAGGGGAGGGGAGAGAAGAGCAGGAGGGAATGATGTTTACTGGGCGGCTCACCACCCCGCCAGGCTGGACCTGGGAAGGGGCCCCGGCTGCAGAAATCGGGCATCCCCCTCCCCGCCCCGTCCCGCCCCCTCAACTGCCTGGCTGGCGAGGGCTGGCGAGGGCCCGGGGCGCTCATTGTGCAGGCAGCTGGCACCAGCTGGGAAGGATAATTAGCATAACAAAGAGCTGGAGCCAGCGCCGCTAGGCCCGGCGGGGGCTCTGCAGAGCGCCCCCGGCTCAGAGGAGCCGCGCTGTCCCCGACAGCAGCCCTCCCCTGACCGCGACTCTCGGAGCTGCACCTCCGGGCCCCACCGCAGGCGTCCTGGGCTCCGCCGGGGCCCCGGCCACGGGGCTTGCCCGGAGAAGGCTGTGGTGTGGGTGTGTGTCCGTGGCAGCGAGTGTGAATGGGCGTGCACGTGACAGTGTCCGTGGGCCTGTGAATGTGTTGCGAAGGGGCCACCGGCAGATGGGAGAGGTTCCCTTCCCTCTCTTCGCATCAAGGTCTTTGTTTATGCCTTCAGCGAAACCGGTTCTCAACTCTGGCTGCACCGCGGAACCCCCGGGGAGCTTTTTACGGAGACCAGCCAGGCCACGGCCCCACCCCAGAGACTGGCGAGTAATGGCCCCTGCTGGAGACTCCG